AGGTATTCGTTTTTCTGGATTTTTAAAAACATTGGCACCAAATACAACGCATATTGAGAAATCCCTGCTGAATGCTTTTGATTCTGCTGCTTTCTTTTCCCCCAAGAGCCCTGAGATCCTTCTTCAGCTCAAAACCTTGCTTGTCATTGAGTTAGTTGGAAATATCCTCCTTAGTAGCCAAAAAATGAACACGTGGCATGACCTGGACCATTGGAGTCCCATCAAGTTCAAGGAGATAACTGCTCCTACATGGTCCCATCACCTGAACCTCATTTAGGGAAGAACTGCTTGTCTGTATCATTGGTAGCAGGACTGGTGATTTTAGCAGCTTGCATTTCAAGTATTTCTGCATGCTCTGCCATGCAGTATTGGGATGATCTACAGTAGAAGAAAAATTAAAATGGGGGCAAGCTTAAAACTCCTGGAAGATGCTGGTTTTGAGACCCTGCAAATGTTGTGATTAAAGATATGACCACATACATTCCCAATACCATGTGAAGTATTCTACTCATTCTGTCATTCCCTTGTATTAGTTTAAAAAAAAAAAGGAAGGAGAGTCTCAGGTTAGGTGAACATTCTGGACTTCTGTGGCATTCAGGGTTTCAACTTCAGGAGAGTTAGGATGTAGGGCTATTGTATCTAATATTCTTCTGGTTTGCAGTTGGCCCATAAGGAGGGGTAGGACTTGAATGTGGGTCTTTAGTGGGTTTGGCTAGCAGTGTGGGAGAACATTGCTGCAGTTGGAGGCAAAATATCCTTGCCCCATCATCACTTTTCAAAAGGTGGCTTTTACTGGCAATCCTGTGGGGGATGGGTGCCGCAGTGTATGTATCTTGAGGGTGTGGAGCATCGCTTTTCAAACCTTTTACACCACAGCAACCATCACAGTATATTGACTTGAGATGTATCTTCATGAAGACATGTCCCTCTAGTATCACACTGAATAAACAAAGCTGCAACATATCTTAATGTTCCTTGCAGGTAGTTTCTCTGTCAAATTCACACCAGCATCTTCTTCTTTGCCTAGGTGTTATGGGTGCAGTGGTGGCTCCTCTGACTCTTCTTGGTGGCCCCCTACTTCTTCGAGCTGCTTGGTACACGGCAGGAATCGTGGGGGGTCTCTCTGCTGTGGCCATGTGCGCCCCAAGTGAGAAGTTTCTGAACATGGGAGCTCCTCTGGGTCTGGGCTTGGGACTTGTGATTGTTTCTTCTGTGGGTAAGTAGATCAGCTCTCCTAAGAGGTGGACTGAAAGCTCTGAATTGGCTTTGCTTGATTATCTAATGTAGTCAGTCAGTTCCAGGAGCTTAGCATGTACAAATGTATTCCTACTGGAGCCAGGCAATTGGCTAGGTGGGTAGCTTCCCATATTGGAGATGTTTGACTAGAAATCAGCCACTCAACCTTACATGTAGACATGTAACATGTAGACAACCTCTTTTTTTCCTCCACTAAACTTTTGTGTATCTATTGGACTTCTCACGTATAAAATTACAGGTAATCCTTGACTTAACGACCACAATAGGGACTGGAAAGTTCATCATTAAGCAGGGTATTACATGACTGCACCCAATTTTATGATATTTTATGCAGTGGTCATTAAGTGAATCACATGGTTCCCCATTGATTTTGCTTGCCAGAAGCCAGCTGGGAAGGTTGCAAATGGCGATCACATGATCTCGGGATGCTGCAACCATCGTAAATATGTTCCAGTTGCCAAGCTCTCGAATTTTGGTCACATGACTGCGAGGAAATACGAGGACCAGTCATAAGCCATTTTTTTTCAGCACCGTCATAACTTCGAATGGTCGCTAAACGAATGGTCTTAAGTCTGCTAGCTGTACAGCCAGGGACCCTGCTGAACTAACTTACCATTCTGTTGGGCATGGGTGGTAAAAGTGTGCATCACCAACTTAATGCTTTGTTCTTGGGGGCCTTCGGGTATGTCTTCCAGGATCTATGTTCCTGCCTCCAACTTCTATGTTGGGTGCTGGCATGTATTCTGTCGCGATTTATGGTGGATTGGTACTTTTTAGCCTGTTCCTGCTCCACGATACCCAGGCAATTATAAAACGTGCAGAGACTCAACCACTGCTGAGTGGGTTTGGAATGCAGAAGTATGATCCTATCAATGCGTAAGTATTTCTTCTTGCTGGATGTAACACAATTCAAGCCTCAGATAGGTATAACACAGAGGTGAAGAAGAAACCCATGGCTTTAAAACCAAGCTGGAAATTTCTGTTCCATCCCACTGACATTAATAATAATAATTCTAATTAAAAACACACTCTGGGGCAATCCAAATCTTGGATTGGCCTTTGACAGTTGGAAGGCTCTGCTGGAAAAGCACAGAGCCGTCCTTGTAATAAAGCAGAGGAAATTTGAAATATCTTTTGTGGGCATAAATTCCTTTGCATTTCAGACTTATTAATAAAGCCTGTGAAAAAATATTCAATATTTTTCAGTACGGTTGTAAAAAACATGTCATTTTGAACTGTTATCAGTGTGATGAAACATCCCATTTCAAGTGTGAAGCTGCCATTTTCCATACAAAATGGGGTGTGACAGGTACTTCCACATCATGGCAGTTTTGCATATGAGGCAGAACCTTTTTCAAAGTTTTGAAAAGTTTCACACTTTGTAATAGCTTCAGGCAGACCTTTTACCCACCTGTAGTCTTATTAATGATTGCTTAAAAGTCAGCCTAAAATTTGAACACAACTCAGGTCCAGCAGATTCTGTCTACAAATCCAAAGCCCACCAGGATCTGTTAAATTGAGGGATTACTGCATTGTTTCTCAACCTTGGCAACTTGAAAATGTGTGCATGCTCCCTGGGGAATTCTGGGAGTTGAGGTCCACCCATCTTCAGGCTGCCAAGGTTGAGAAACGCAGGTTCGCTGCATTACTATCGAAACCATAGTCTGTGTCAGAGACTTAGATATAGTCATGCGTATATAGGAATACTTTCCAGGTAGTTGAACAGGGCTGAAGAAAAATGTATGGGCAAACTGGCTGGTAAAAATAATATGGAGGAGTTCGTTGGCCTTATTTGCAATTGTTGTAAAAGAACAGTGAACTTAGTTGAAAGAATACAGAACAGTTCAACAACTTTACGTTCTTCGACACACAAAGTAAATGTTTCATTGCTAAACTCTGCCCACAGAATGTCTTTCTGTCCTGTCTTCCAGGTGTATGAGCATTTACGTGGACACGCTCAATATCTTCATCAGAGTGGCTACTATGCTTGCTGGTGGTGGTGGGCGGAAGAAGTAGATGCAGCAAGGTGCCTTGAGGGGTCATCCGTCAGTTTCTCTGCTTAGTGCAAACTCTCCAATAAAGCGTTCGTTGCGTCCAAGCAGCTTTCCTGTAGAAGTTTGATATTCTAAGCATTTCAACATGATCTCGAAGTTCTTTTGGGGGCAGCATGACTCAGGTCTTGGTTTCCAGTTCTAATTTGTAAAGCATTCAGTGGAAACTAGTTGGCTGCATGCCACTCAATCACTTTGCTTCAGTTGGAGGGTTTTTTGAAATGGAAAAGAAGTTCATAACAATAAATCTGTATTTACAGCAACTATTAAGTTCTCTTCTCCTTTCAAAAGATGACTCTCTGCCGTTCTTTCTGGCGCCATATATAAGATAGGCCTAGAAGAGCATTATACACTCTTCGGTAAGAGTTGAATTCAGCTGTGGATTCAGAAACTATAAAATTATTTTAGCAGAAATTCAGGAAGCTATCCAAGCATATTTGCTACTAATGCATGAATATCATCAACTGAGCGTGGCTTATTTTGAAACAAATCTCATGGAAATCTCATTAAATGAGGAATGTTGGAGAATAGCATTCTGTCCCAAAGTCAGATCGGGACCCCATCTTCATCTTGAGCCATGTTTTCCTCTCAAAATCCTCTGCAAAATAGTAGCATCCGACTGGCCATTTCTTTTGATAAGTGGATAGTGGTTTCTACAAGAACATTAAATGGGGCTCTCCCCTTAATTCCAGAATTGTACTTCTACGCTCTTAATTTATAGGCTGGGAAGACAGTTGTATATAAATTTGTAATGGAGAAAATAAAATCAGAACTGCATGAAGCTCCCAGCTTCTGTAATACTCCATTTCATTAACAGATACAGCAATCCAGTAATGTAAGTTTCCTCCCTTGTCAATCTGTGCTATCAGGTTCTTAATAAATAAAATCCTTGCACAACATTTCATGGGTCTTGTTTTCTTTGAGGAGTGGTCTCTATGTCTTGGATAAAATGTTCACCGCCATTTATGTCATTTGCATAGTGACATAAGTTTGCTTATAAAATAAGAAAACTGCAAGCGGAATTACAACGGATCTTCCACACTATTGTGGAAACAGCACTTTGTGTCTGCCCCCTATGATATATCCAAAGTGGCTGGTGGGTATCGTTTTGCTACCTTGTCCAAAAAACCCCGGCAAACGTTAATCAAGGTGATCAAGGTCTATTTAACATGATACACGTAGTTACAATTTCCGATTAATCCCAACTACATGGAAAAACACAATACGTAAAGCAGCATTTGTTCTGGATAGGAAGTACTGACTCGATATATTTATGGGGGGGGGAATTGTTAAAATAATTGTGACCAAACAGAATTCCTCCCCCCACCACGCACCTTAGTTTGCTTTGGCTTAGGCTGCATTCATATTTAAATAACCATTTTAGCACTAATTAAAAGATATTAAAAAGGCACCAGTTTGCCAACTTTACTGCAAAAGTTATCATGGATATATACTTATAGACAAAATACTACTTATTTGATGCATATATGCGTGCGGATAACTTAGCAGTAACGTGGTTTGACTTAAAAAAAAAATTGACAGTCTAGTCTGTATTTCCCATCTAAGTCCTGACCAGACCTAACTGCATAGCTGAGATTAATATATGTGTAGTGTCAATGCATTTGCCAAAATGCAACAATTTTATTGCATATTAGAACTAGGGATATGCAAAATCTCCCATGTGCACAGAACACTAAGTTTGCAGGTCCAAACCCAGACCAAAACACATTCAGTTGAGTAAGCATGCTGCCATCGGATAATGGCTAGGTAAATACTGGGGAGACAGGTGCATAGGCTGAATACTGTGATGGAATGGAATTATGAAGGCCAGGCTCAGGGAGATAAACATTTTCTTAGCTAGCCGGAGGAGCGTGGGAGCAACAAGAGGATGAGGCTGGCACCTCCCTGAGGAATTCACACTGTTGTGGCTGGAGGACTTGGGAGATGGGGTTTCAGTCTGGGAAGATTCTTGCTAGAGGTTGTAGCTAATAAACATAGCTGGACTGAATTGGCATTGTCTCTTGGAGTTCCTTGGGCTAAACCTGACATCAATCTCCCCAGACTGAAACCCCATCTCCCAAGTCCTCCAGCCACAACAGTGTGAATTCCTCAGGGAGGTGCCAGCCTCATCCTCTTGTTGCTCCCACGCTCCTCCGGTGAGCTAAGAAAATGTTTATCTCTCCGAGCCTGGCCTTCATAATTCCATTCCATCACAAATATACAGGTTATGGAGAAGAAGGCCCTACAGGACACCTGGAATTTGCCTTGGCTGAAAGTAAAACCCGAAGCAATTTTGATTCAAACTGACCCTCCTGGTACAGTTCAGCTAAACTCCAAGCCAAATGTATTGGTTCCATACCCATTTTCAGTTGTGTGCGCAGCAAGTGGAGATCCCATAAAATGGATGAAGCAGATGTGTCCTGCTTATGCCCCCAGAGAAACCACCACTGTTCTATCAGTCCCAACTTTTTATAGTTAGAAGGAAGCTGTGAGCAAGCCCCGGAGAAGTATGAATAGAGCTGCATCAATTTAACATGCATGGATTCAGCTCAGTATTAATTCTGTACTAAATGTTCTTATAGAAAGAGCCTAAGGAATGGAAGAAATTGCATTAGTCCGTTGTTATAAAACTGGGATTTTGTGTCTTAAGTAAGGGTGGGAAAAGGGCAGTTTTGGCCGCCTATGGCTCACCACTATTCCCATGGGATCAAACCTTTTGGCCTTACCCATTTTTAGACTGTGGCCTTCAACTTGCTTTGAAAAGCGCCACGTAGCCCTTGAACTGATTTCCATGGACAAAAATAAGGAAGTGGATAACCGGGTGGTTTGGGAATGGTTCTGGAGACCCTAATGAAGCACTGAAGTGCAGGCCCTGTTCTACCAAGGTCTAATCTCGTTTGAATAAATAAAGGGGTGGCCTTGTCACGCCTGTCCAACCCAGGTGTATCAGAGACTGTTTTGTTCACGAGTCTTGAACTTTGGCACTCTCTTGGTCTGGCTGCATATCTTTACATTTGCAGATTTTTTTTCCCCAAAGGATTTATAAAGGTTTCCTTCTGTAGGGCCCAAGGAGGTTAACCATAAACGTATTCCTCTGCTATGTGGCAATCTTATCACATAGATTTAATGTGTTGATCCAGCAAACGACTCATCTGGGAGAACAGATTTATGCACGTAACCTCTTGGGGTTAGGTTTGGGCACGCATGCAATATATATTAATAATAATATTAATAATATATTAATACATCATAATTAATATGATCAATGACCAGATTTTACTTCCTTAAAGGGTGGCCATCTGTGTTACCATTCCTCCATTTTGGAAGCATGAAGAGATTAGCCACCGTAATATAACATCACAGACTCAATAGAAATACAGATGTGCCACGTCTTTCTGTCTCAAAGGGGCATGATTACAGTCAAAGGGAGAGAGAGAATAATCTATATGAGTTGGTGGATGGTTTTAGGGGCTATCAGAAGTTATCGCAGGAAGGAGGTGTGTAGAAACTGCAAAGTGACGGTCTCTAGATGGTGAAAAAAAACCCAATTCTTAGAGGTGTACCTTCTCACCCACATTTACTAATATTTTATCTGAAAATATTACAAAGTTTTCCCAAAGTATGTGCCCCTCGTAAATTGGTATCATAAAGCCCAGAATTCCCAGCAAGCCTTTGACCATGACAGTTGGGAATTCTAGGAATTTAGAATTGGACAGCATCAGCTTGGGGATTGCTGATGTAATGTATACTTACGCAAATGCCCGCCTGTAGGGAATCACAACCTGTCAGGGATCCCACCTTGTCAGGAGTTTTGCCTTCATAGGAGCATGAGTGTTTAATTTGGTTTTTGGCTGGTATTTGAAGGCCTCAAACTGAAAAGTGCATTGAAAAGTGTACGACAGTGACGAATGATGTGTGTTAGATCATTGGTCCAATACCTGAACATATCATTCGCTGCAGTGAATGAAACCCGAAGGTGTGTTTTTACAACATGTTTAACCACACCAGACAAAGACTACGTAAATGCATTCACACAACATGTTAAGCTTGGTTAGTTTTAATTTTGGTTTGTTGATCTTCTGGGTTAGCATATCATGCAAGTAACCATCTGGTAAAATTCCTGTTCAAGGTATTGTGTGAACTGAGAAAAAAGGTGGATTTCGTATCAAGGTTGAGCACGTTATGTGAAAGTGGCCCTGTTTTATTTCCAAGTGAGGTGGACTTCCTTCACACTATTGGTACCGTCTGGGTTAAGGAGACTCTGGAAAATGTCCTTTAGAGGTCCACATACCTTCCAAGAAGGCTCTTTGTCTTCCCAGTGTCTTACTCCATAATTTCAAGTCCCTTTCCCTTCTTCTCTCTCACTCTGTTTTGCTTTGGCTCCCCCCACCCAAAGAGTCTCTAGGGAAAAAGAAATATAAGAGAGAGCAGGACAAGGCCTCCACTGATCTTTTTTAACAAATTACACATGTAGCGCTAAAGCTGGGCCTTGGGAAGCGGAGCAGGAACACTAACCCTCATCCTAGCCGTTCCAATGGGTAGGAAACCCACTTTGAGCCAAGAGCTGCCCAGGAATCTTACTTGCATTTATAGAGCAGTGTGTACTGGAGCAACTAGGAGACCAATTTTTGTCACCTGCTAGTTTGGTAAAATCTGAGAAATCAAGCCGTGACACAGTATGCCTAGAACAGGATGGATTTCTCCTTGAAGGAAGCTTTCCAAAGGGGGCTGAATAGCCTCCTGTCAGAAATGATTTACTAGATTCTGGCACTGAAGAGCGTGTTGTATGAAGTGGCTTATAATTTCTCTTCCAAGTCATAAATTCTATAAGTCATTGGAGCAGAGTCTGACATGATCAAACAGTAGCGACCAGCTCCAAAGTTCCCCGTGCAGTGACATTTCTGGCAAATGTCCAGCTCTGAATAGGAGAGTGGGTTAGCCATCTTCCTGTCCTACACGCCAATATAAAAATCAAGACTCTTTCCACCCATAGCAATCACGTGAGGTTTTATATGCCGTATAAATAAACACAGCCTAGTATTAAATTCCTCAGACTTCTTCGAAGGGAGAGAAGTTCCTACATTAGCCGAAATCATGAGGATTTTGAAAGTCTTGGGCTTGCTGCTCATCTTGATTCTCTGCCTTGGGACCTTCTCAGCTGATAATGCAGGTAAGCTTTCAGCTCCACCACATAGACTTAATTTAATACTTAATTTAATTTTCAGAAGAACTGCCAAGCTGAATTGAGGAATGGATTGGTCTCGTCTAGCATACTGTCTCCAGTCACGGGACAGCACCTCCAAATGGGAACTTCGCAAGGGTTAAGAATCATCACAATTTATATATACTCAGGGTTTGAAAGGATTGTTCACCACTGTTAGAAAAAAAGATTTAAAAGACCTGGATTTCAATTGCATACCACTACGTTAGTTATACTGACATTAATTTATATTTGTAACTGATTACATTATTGGCGGTCTGAATTGTTTTATATTATACTTTGAATTAATATATAGTTTGTTGCACCTTTGAAACGTTAGAAACCCCTTGGGGCACAATATTGAAGAAATGATTGAATGAGCAGCATTTTTAAAGCAAATATAATGGGCATTGATAGGGATTAGAGATCTGTGTTTTAATTGTGGCTTGAAATACCAAGCAAGGGAAAAATATTTATATGACTTTTTCAAAGCAGTATTCCTGTTTGTGGAGAATAAATACCAATGGGTTAGTCATTCCTTTTAATGAGATGAGTGCAACTGAAGGTCTAAGGACTATGTACCACTGGGGTTAAGAAACTAAATATATAGCACATCAGCTCAGGTGAAATTCTTTGCAGTCGTTTTCAGAATACCAGCCCTCGCCTAGAATTTGCAAGGGGCCTCCTAAGTGTTGGTTGTCTAAATCTCACAAGGGAGATTTGCAAAGAAAGGCGCAACAGCGCCACACCTTCAGCCAAGTTCATTCCCTCCCCACATCTCACCCAGCTTCCTTTCCATTTGACCTTCAGCTACTGAACACGCTCGTTTATCATCTGGTTGTTTGGAGTTACCCCTTCATTTAGATTAAAAAAAAAAAAAAATGTGGTTAATACTGTGGAAAATCTCAGACTTCTCCGAAACTGCAGAACCTCCTCCTTGTTCCTTAGTGCCCTCTAATGATTTCAGTTATCCATCAGAGGGAGCGATGTGATGTTACCACCTCAACATCGTTGTTCTTCGATGTGCACTGCCCATTTTCACTGTATCATCTTTGTGTTTGCTTGTTTAATTATTTATTTAAAATATTTATAGCCTGTCTGCTGTCTAGAGGATGCTTTGGTGGACTGGATTTCCATGTTTTTTTATTCTTTGCCACTAAATGCTGTGTGCCCATGCATTCTTCTCAGAATTCTCCTTCTCCTTCTCCTTCTCCTTCTCCTTCTCCTTCTCCTTCTCCTTCTCCTTCTCCTTCTCCTCCTCCTCCTCCTCCTCCTCCTC